TTCTGCTTGCGCTCGTTGGGGGCCCCCTTGACTCGGGGGCCCCGTATCTTTGATACGGCTGATACGGCGGTAGTTACGCCCCTGATATGTATATATATATATATATATATATATATAGAATTTTATGATATGAGTGGAACGAATATTAATTGTTTAATATGAACAAAACAGCACTCAGATTTGTTTAACACAACTTTATTTTATGATTACAGACGTTTCGAGACCATGGTGTGTCTCATCTTCAGTGTAATATCAAAAACAGTTACTTATATACTACACATTCTTTAATAATTTATTTAAATTTCATTTAATTTTTGATATACAAAAAACACCAACTATTCCTTGCAATGCTTGACACAGTACTAAAGAAACATATAACACTTACAAAAATATTCTAAACAAATTTGAAGTACTTATCTAGATGGAGACAGAATAGGTATCATTATAATGTAAACAAAAGGAGTGCTATCGCATACAAAAATCGATAAAAATGAAAAAACAAATTAATTTATTGAAAAGAATAAGATAAATGAAACAATTTTATAAATTATTAATGATGTTTATATAAGTGCCATGTAAAATATTTGTGTCGGTTCTTAGATTTATGCTATTGTTAGTCCGAACTATTAACATTGATTCTGCCATGCTCCGTTTAAATAAGTCTTTCTCATGGAATAAAATTTGGGGATTGTCAAAATCAAACTTATGGTTGTTGATATTAGCATGATCCACAAGTGTACTTTTAAATTTTTTGTTATCTATTTTTTCACATTGTAATTTAATATATATATATATATATATATATATATATATATATATATATATATATTATTGCGCAATAGCAATCGATAATGCTGCATTGTGTAATAGCAATGCTGATATGCCAATTAACTTAAATTCTATATCGATTACAGTCATTATAACTATTAGCAAATATTTCAAATACGCCATCGTAAGGTGTTTGCAGTCCCATTTAACCAGTATATAAAGTACTGATATGAGTTGGTAAGGCAGAGTTGCTTGAATCACATCAGAGTTGTTTTTAATTAATTCAGAGTTGCTTTTAGTTGCTGTTGGCTACAGCAGAGTTGCTGTTGGCCACAGCAGAGTCGCGGTGTTAGTCGTTATAAAGATAATAATTGATCGTTGTAAGTGGGTTCTAATAAAGTATAGTTAAAAGTGGTCAACCAGTGTTGTTTCTTAGAAGTGACAAAATATTTCAGCCGATATCTTTATTAAGAGCTCAAGGCATCCGAAGCTATTATTATTATAACCACTGCTCGGTAAGGCTGTATTGACTAGGGGTCAATACGAACCACGCTACCAACCAACCAACATTACATTTCAATATATATATATATATATATATATATATATATATATATGTATATATATATATATATATATATATATATATAAAGCGAGAGGTTTTTCTTCACATATATCTTATCAATGTGCACATACTCATACCATGGATTAATAATGGTTTCATATGCTATATTAGGATACAAAATTTTAACTTGATTACCACTGAATGATGGCTAAGATGCTAGCCGAAACGTATGGATTTTAAATAAATAAATTTTTAAAAAAAATTCATACTATTTTTATTGATGTTACGCCCGAATATTAAACTCAAATTAAACATATATATCAACATCAAATTCAAGACTATCAAAAAAAAAAAAATATATATATATATATATATATATATATATAAATAAATATATATATATATATATATATCTTAAATATATATATATATATATATATAAATAAATAAATATATATATATATATATATATATATATATCTTATATATAAAATTCTTCTGTAACAATGTAAGTTTCAGTAATCCTCCTAAACTATAATTCGAATTTTCATGAATCTTTCTGAAGTTTGTTCGGGAAATTTTCTAGAATGTTCTGATTCATAGAAATATAGTTAGATTGTAGAAATAAATGGAAAAAATTACAAAAAAAACCGCTTATCATTGTTTGACCTTTAAAATATTTAAGGCATGGTTTGACATTAAAAACAAATGACAACTGTCATTTGCCAAACATTTCTATTCACTTATAGGCTAAGGCAACATTAAAATATAATAAATTCATGATTAAAAATAAAGAAAATGTAATGTCTACATTATTATTGTCGAAAAGCAGCTGAGATGTGCCATAATTAAAATATTGTAAGATGCAAATAATATTACATGCGTCTGACAGTCTGCGCATGCGACTGACGCGCACGGCGAATCTTGTCCTCAACGTGCGCGTGATTTGCTTTTGCTTGCAATAATTTTGTTTGGGCACTTTGCGAACAGATTCGCCGTACGAATTCGTGCAAAGGAGACGAGCCATAAGTGATTCCGCTCAAAAATATTCAATTTGCGGTCGTTTTGCCTTACTATACTAAGTCACAATACAAAAAAAAATTATTTAGAAGTTTCATTGTGTCAAAAATTCATATGTTTGTCATTGGGTACGGAATATTTACTCAAGGGAGCGCTTTCGGTCTGCACTTTTTTTTACTGTTTTCCAATTCGTTTGGAATTTTGGAACTAAGTTCATCTTACTCTTCAGAAGTGAAAACAATTTAGACTCCTTTTACACTTCTCGGGTGGATGACATTTCTTTTCATTGGTGTAATTTTACTTTTTTCAAAATAACGTTGGTATCGATAAAAGAACTAATTATAAGAGAAAAATGTTTATTAATGTTTTTCAAAAAAGCAAATACTTTTCAAGTTACTGCCTACTGAATATTTGTTTCTTTTTTGCCTTTTTCATCATTTTTTGCTAATATCTTCAAAAATAAACATTTGAACGAAAATCATGTAATGAACAGAAATATATCAATTAAAATCTTAATAAATCGCTATTTTATAGTGTTTTAGGAACATTGTTAGGCTAGATATGAAAATGGGTTTTTATAGTGCTCAAAATAAGCTTTAAAATAAGTACTTCTGCGTGTAAAATGAGTGAGCTATCATGCAGATAAAGGACGCATACAATGTTTTTTTTTTTCATTTAAATCAAATAGTTTGAGTGCCATATCCACCAAAATTAAAAATAATCGTATTCCATCTACAATTAACATGGTTTAAGAGATCTTGATGGATTCTCAATTTCTCATCATAATACCTCTGAAAGAATACGTATAAAAGTATATATATATATATATATATATATATATATATATATATCGTATATATCGTATATATATATATATGAAAATTCGAGGTATTTTTCTGACTAATTATTGTTGTTTATTATTTTTCCGTTACACAAATATTGATAGATGTATGATTAATTAAGGAGTGGGCGCTGTCCAACCAGAGGTCTTTCGAGCCCTTTAACCCTTCGCCGTTTTACAATAAGAGAAGTTACGGTAAAATAAATGATAGAGAAAGTTGTAGCTTATTTAATCACCTTTAAAATAGTGTATTACAAGTTCTGATAAAATCAGAATTAAAAGAGTAATAATCCAATTATTGCTGTGGCTGGTGACGGAGTGCAAATTGTTAAAAACATTGAACTTAAGATAATGATTAGCCTATTTCCAAAATATCAAGTGAATTGGAGCACAGTAAAAAAATTCACAGAGCAAGAGCAGAGTAAGTTGAATAGAGCACATGTGAACAGGATTTGACAAATTAATTCACTTCAAATATAAACTTAAGCAATAATGTATATTGATTTATTGGAGAAAAAAATGTAATTTATATATTAAAATTACTAAAAGCCAGTTAAAATATGGTACGAAATTATAAAAATTATAGGCAACATTATTGAAGCAATTATTTTGGGTAGAAAAATAGAAGGTGATATTGCACCTTTGCCGCGAATGCTATATATTAATTCTTTCTGAATTTGTTGTACCTTTTAAAAGATTTAAATTTTCAACACGTGTATCTTTTGCTATGACCATAAATCACAAAGGCAGACGATCATTTTTAGAGTGATAAATTTGGAAAATCAATGTTTTAGTCGTGAATAAACAAAAAATCATTCATTTATACATCCACATTTACAGGTATGACTAAAAATACTATATAACCCTTAAATGCAATAAAATAAATTGAGCTATTGGAAATAAATTTGTTCTATAAATCGCAGTGCATAATTTTTAATATACAATTTTATTGAACATTTTTTAATATTTGTTAAATGAATAATTAAAGTGTTAACTGTGGGATTTGAGAACAATCATTTCATTTGAAACAGTTCTACATTCAACATCACTCATATATTGGTGTAAATAGTAATTCAAAAAAACAGTAATTATTATTTTTAACTAAGCAGTAAATATTAGTATAAAATATTGAAAAATTGTAGACGTGGATACAGAACAACGTCTGTCGGGTCAGCTAGTATATATATATATATATATATATATATATTATATATATATATCTTAAATATTAAATTCTTCCATACGGATGTATGAACGGTTACTCCTCCTAAACGATTATTCGGATTTTGATAAATGTTTTTGAACTATGTTAGGAAAAATTTTTAGGATTTAAATGATTATAAAATGATAGTAACATTGCAAAAATAAATGAAAAAATGCAAAAAACAACGTATCGTTGTCGGATATTGAAAACATTTTGTCAGAATTGTCACCTGCCTGAAATGGGATCGTTCAAGTATTACGTAAGCAGATTTATTACAATTATTTACCCCCCCACCTTTGTCAGCAAAAGTAAGCAAAAGTTCTTACCGAAAATAATCAAAATAAGCAAATCAACGCTCAACTTTTTAACTCAAATAATATATATATATATATATATATATATATATATATATATATATATCTTAGATGTATATTTATTAATTTAATTTGATCAAATAACTTAAAATATTTCTTGCAAAGTTCATGGGATTACTACCCCTGCCTCTTATGATTTCATTATAAAGTGTAATGGTGTTACAAACACGTTTATAATACGATTAATATCATTCTAATTTTCTAATCATGCTCCTATCTAAGACTTACCACTTTAAGTTCTTTGAAGACGCATTCGTAGTATTCGCACTGCAAAGATATGCAAACATAAAATATGAAAGTGAGAATGCATTAAAAGATCGAGAAAGTAACTGAAAAACAATCTATTTAGATTACTTTATTCCTCATTCAATCTATAATTGATCAATAATTTTTATATAATTTTTTATAGTATAGAAATCAGTATATAACAATGAAATATTTTTTAATTTTTGTAAATCAGTAAAATAATATTTTAATTTTAAATTATATCTAGTGTTCTAAAAACGTTATATAAATATGTCAAAACCAATTATAGAGCTATTTTATAAACTTCTAGATAATGATTTATATTTATTTTGAGCCTACAAATTAATAACATTCAAGTAAATCAAGAAAAAAAAATTCTTAAGAGAGATAAAAAAATATTTTTTTTTATTCAGTATTGGAAAACATTGTAGTTGGACACTCTGAACGACTTATTATAATTTATATTGAACTATGAAATAATTACATGTTAATAATTTTAAAATATGTCAAATAGCATATGAAAGAGTTTGGTGGTCAATAGAAATTTGTTATTGTAATTGATGACCTTTTATGGTGTTTACTCCCCATTATTCAACTTTAGCAAATTAATAATAATTATAAATAATGGTCAAGATTTTCATATATGAAAAGAACAAAGAAATTATTATAAATACATTCAAAAAGAAGCGTTTAGTGATGAGCATAGCTCACTTGGTAGCTTGTTCGATTCACACGACAGGGATCCTCGGATCAAATCCTGTCATTGACTTAGAATATAGAAAAAAATATATATATACATATATAGTTACTTTGAAATCAAATAAAAATTGTATTAGTTAAGTAGAATTCAAACATGAATTAAGTAAAATGAAAATAACAGAATTTGAAAAGCTGAATTGTATTAGGAGTAAGAAGAGAAATATTGGAACTTGCTGAAGTTAAAAGAAGAATGAAGAAAAAAATGGAAAGAGCAATAATTGAAGAAAATAAGAAGAAGAAAAATGAAGAAGAATATAGAATAGGATACATATATAGATTGAAAATGATATAAAAATTAGAATGTAAATAAATAACTAGTGGGGCGCATGGCATCGTGCCTTAAGGCAAATTGCTGGAACTTCCCGTACCGCAATTAAACATTCGAGGAATGAAAATAATCGATAATTATTTTGAATAAATTCAAATAGATTATTTATTACATACTGTAAACTTATAAGTGCCTTTTAAATTGGGCGACGAGCGTATTTTATGAACAACTTATGTGTACGTTTTCAAGAGTCCATTTTTTTAAATTTGACCTTTTGGATCATTTAAAATTTGTTTGAAAAACTTGAAATTTTTCTATAAGTTTGCAAATTTTTGGAATTAAAAAAAAAGTTTTTTCTAAATATTTAGAGAATTTGGAAATTTTTGAAATTATTCGATTTTTTTTTAAATTACTGAAATATTCTAAAATTTTGTAAGAAATCTTTTTTTTAAATTTTTCAAAACTTAGTTTTTTTTGAAAAGCATGAAAAATTTCGAAAATTTGAATTTTTTGAAACTTTGAACTTATTTTTGAAAATTTTGTTTTTTTTTAATTTTCAAAATCACCATATTTTTTGCGAATGCATTTTTTGCACACTATCTACTCAAGCAAAATGTTTTTTGAATTATTCTAATCGGATAATCCGTTCTCTCAAAAACTGCAAAATTGCCTTTTGCAAAAACGCCTCGCAATCGAGTAGGGTAGGGCGGGGCTAGTTGAGCATAGGGGCAAGTTGAGCAATCGAAATATCTCGAAAACTATTCACCGTCCGTTTAGGCATTATATGGCGGAAAGATAGAGGTTTGGGAGAAATAAACATCCCGCAATCGCTAGTGGCCGCTGGACAAATGAGTGAGGCTCACGAGCGTTTTGTTTATTTTGATACCAAAAAGTAAAAAAGTAATTCATCACGAGTTTTCGTCTGGTTTAGTCAAATGTTATTTATTTTTAATCAGGTAAATGTTATTCTTCTATATAATTACAATACTTTTGATATGCACAAAGATTCTGGATATAATTCTCACGGTTTTTTTATAAACTCACTTTTATTTTGAAATTCCGAGTTGGGGTTAGTTGAGCATAGTTGCTAAACTTGTTCTGTCACTAAGACAATTAATATTAACTTCCAGAAATTAATTATCATTTTTAAGATTTAAGCTAAGTCTATGAGTAATAATATAAAGAAATAATGATTTTAAACAAAAATACTGAATATAATGGTAAAATAATTCCTAAGATACGATATTGTTTTGTTGATTCTACTTTTGGTTAATTATTCGAAGAAAATTACTATAAGTTTTGTTTTCTCTGTCAATAAATACTATAAATAAAGAACTGGTTATTAAAAACTAATTTTATTTTATCATTTTATTTTTATCATGATTTCATTATAATTTCTTAGTGCTCAACTTGCCCCACCTATGGGGTACAATGAGCATACTTGACTTTTTGCATTTAAACAGCTGTAGCTTTTAAATTTTACTTTTTGCCAAAAAATAGTATTAACACTTTTGTTAAGCGATAAACAACAAATCCATTATGCCGTATAGCAATTTATTGAGACTTTCCATTGAGGAGCTACATCCGTTTAAGTAAAAAGTTGCTCAACTTGCCCCGCCCTACCCTACGAACCGAATGATTTTTTAATCATACAAATTGGTTATTCTATACTGTCGAGAATGTCGAGGACATTTGTTTGAACCATATAAAAGAACTTAAAAATTAAAAATCTTAGTAGGGAACCCAATAAATTTACACAAAATGTGTACACAATATTAAAATTTCTATGAAATATATAATAATTTGATGTACATATATCCAATACTTTTTGACCGCCAAATGACATTTTTTTAAATTATTTTTATTCAGAGTCCATAACCGCTGGATCTTCCTTCCCAAAAATTTTACCAGTTTTTTATTTCGTCAATACAAAAAAATGTTTTTTGAATCAATAAAATCGGGCGCTCCGTTCGCTTAAAAACTGAGTTACCGTTTTTAGTACTTTTTGCCCGTATCTTCGGAACGATTAGACCTGCCTTCGCCAAAAACTTATCAGTACGTCTTCTTATCAATATGAATCAAATGTTTTTTTAAATTATTCACATCGGTTATTCCATACTGTCGAAAATGTCAAGGACATTTGTTTGAACCATATACATACATGAATTTTAAAACTGAAAATCTTGGTACGGAGTCCAAAAAAGTATACGCAAAATGGGTACACATTATTAAAATCTCTATAAAATATCTGATAATTTGATGTACATATGCCCAATAAACATTTTTGACCGCCAAATAGCAATTTTTTAACTTATTTTTATTGAGAGTCCATAACCGCAAGACCTGCTTATCCCAAAATTTTACCAGTTGTTCATTTCGTCAATACAAGTAAAATGTTTTGTTTTAAATTATTAAAATCGGACGCCCCGTTTTCTTAAAAACTGAGTTACCGTTTTGGCACTTTTTGCTCCGTATCTTTGGAACCGCTAAAACTGCTTTCGCCAAAAACTAATCAGCACGTCTCTTCATCAATACAAATCGAATGTTTTTTGAATTATTCAAATCGGTTGATCGGTGTTCCCGAAATCGCCGACGAAAATTTGTATCCGCACACACACACGCACACACACGAACACACACACATACACACATACAGACATACACATACATCCATTTTTTCTAAGGTATGCGAAAATATTCAGAAACCTTTGAAACGTAAAGATATATAAAAATTTTCATTTTCGATTTTTTGCGATTACTATAACTTGCCCTACGGGAAGTTAAAAAATGTTGCAGGTGGCTCAGAGTAAGCGAGGCCAAATAATTTTTTTTTAAAAAAAGAAGCGTTTACAAATAAATTCAATATTAAAAATTTTTACTATAAAACTTACGTTTTTCTTATCTTTGGCAACGTGTCCTTCGTTATCTGGAGCCTCGTTACTTTTACCTGTATTTTTGTTTGAATCAAATCGTTCTTTCAATTGTGACCAAAGATTTCTGGTTGCATTGAAAGCTGTTTTGAAACTTTCTTGAATCTTACGTAAAGCAACAGCTGCAACAAACAAAATACAATAACATGTTAATATTTTCATTACCACTATTTTATAAATATTTTGTTATATTAACTTCCCGTAGGGTAGGTTATAGTAATTTTTTTATATACCTATACATTATTTCTTGAATATCTACATTATACTTTACAAAATTTTGTACATAAATGAATTATTTTAATTTTTATTTCTTATTATAAAGTCTTTTCGCTTCTCTCTTAAATTCCTTTCAATTAATGTTAATTCTTCAATTCCATTATATATATTATATAAAATACCAATAATAGCCATATTATGATATCATTTTCTTCTTCTGATCTTTTCATGCCGAATTTTATTAAGTTATGATCTTCCTCATTTAGATCTATTTTTAATAATTTCAGTCTATGCTTCATCCAATTCCATAACTTTTTATTTTCACCGCATTATGTTGAGAAATGTATTGCATTTTTTTCTTTATTACATTTTGTACAATTAGCAGTACCAGTCATTTACATTTTAAACAGCTTCATTCTCATTTTTATTTTATAAATTCTTCCTAATATTATTCCAGTTCAAATTGTTTTTTTTTTCATTATTCTTGGGTTATAATTATTAATTAGTTTTATATATATTTCTTTAGTTGAAGTATTTTCTAGATTCCATTGATATTTTTCATTTATGATTTTCCATTCTTTTTTATAGATTTCGGAAATTTTTCATTATTGGTCCAAAGTTCTAAAAATCCTGTGTTGAATTCCTTTATGTTTTGTTTTATTATATTTTTAAAGAGTAAGGCTTTACATTTTTCAGCAGTTGATATTAAATTTAGGCCCCCTTGATTTTCTTTCAATTTTAATTGGTTCCTATTATTCTATAACCATACCAGATATATTAACCTATTATAGTTTCAATTTTTCGCGAATATACTTAATGCATTAGTAATACTTGCGCTAAATACCATAGTTTTGCTAGGGCAAATTGATTTATATGCCAGATTTTTTGGATTACATTTAGTCGTCTTGATAAATCTATATTTAATGTCACTCTTATATTATTTATTAATTTAATCCAGTTCTCATCAATCATTTACTCTAAATTTTTTGATATAATCATTCCCAAATATTTAAGTTTTGACGTTTCTAGTATGTTTCCTCCTGAATCCCTTACCCATCTCATACCCAGCGATAAAAATGTGGAATCATTTTCAATTATTTCAGCTCCTGAACTTTGCATTAAGATTTAATTATTTCTAAGGTTTTTTTCTTCACTGTTTGATTTAACTATTAAAGTAACATCATCAGCTTAAGCAATTTGCATACTAAACGAAGATTTGCGTTATAAAAAAGTTTTAAAAATTAAAAAAAAAAAAAAAAATGTGATTTTTTTTTTTTTGAAAAAAAAAGTTTTCTTTATTTTGACGTATTTTGGAATATCTGAACTTCCTTTCAAAGCAATCGTACTGCTTTAACTGCATAGAGACAAAATATAAAGCGCGTAAGCGCCGCGTCGCTGTCTAACGGATAAACATTGGTACGGAACCCATAGAAATGTAAACAAAATTTATACTTAATGTTAAAATTTCTATAAAATATCTGATAATTTGATGTGCATATGTCTAATGATCATCTTTGACCGCCAAATAGCATTTTTTTTACTTTTTTCGTTAGATCTCCGAAACCGCTAGACCTGCCCTTATGAAAATTTGAACAATTGTTCATCTTGTCAATACAAGTAAAATGTTTTTCGAATTATTAAAATCGAACGCTCCGTTATCTTAAAAACTGAGGTACCGTTTTTGGCACTTTTTGCCCCATATCTTTAGAACGGCTCGACCTGCCTCCGCCAAAAACTAATCAGCACGTCTCCTTATCAATACAAATCGAATGTTTTTTAAATCATTCAAATTGCTTCATTCGTGTTCCCGAAATCGTTGACGAAATTTTGTATTCGCACACACATACATACACGCACACACACACACATACACACACACACACATACATCCATTTTTTCTAAGGTATGTCAAAATATTCAGAAACCTCTGAAACCTAAAGATATATAAAAATTTTCATTTACGATTTTTTTGCGATTACTATAACTTACCCTACGGGAAGTTAATAAAACATAAAAAATATAAAAATTATAGAAAAATAAAAATGAGTAGCTAGAATTATTTATTGTAGGTAAATAATTTTTGCTTCTCAATACTGCAGGTAAATAATTTTTGCTACGTAATTTATAGCAAACACAAAAAAATCGAAAATGAAAATTTTGATATATCTTTACGCTTCTGAATATTTCGGCATACCTTACAATTAAAAAAAAGTGATGTATGTGTGTGTGTGACTGTGCGTGTGTGAGTGCGGATACAAATTTTTGTCGACGATTTCGGGAATACGAAATAATAAACACGAAATGTAATATGTTCATATTATTTGCTTAGAACAGGTTTGAAATATTAGGCATTAACTCAATTTTTGACACATTTTCCCCGTATCTTTGAAAAGGCTGAACCTTGGCCAAAAACTAATCAGCAAGTCTTTCTATCAATAGCAATCGATTGTTTTTTAAATTACTGTAGAGTAAGTTATAATATAATCGCAAAAAAATCAAAAATGAAAATTTTTGCGTAACTTTACGTTACAGAGATTTTTATATGTGTGTGTGTGTTCACGATTTCGTAAACACTAATCATCCAAATTGGATGTTGATTAGTTTTTGGCAAAGGCAGTTCGGAGATACGGGCAAAAAGTAATTAAATTTTTGAGATAACGAAGCGTTCGATTTAAATGATTCATAAAACATTTTATTTGTTATTGACAAAATAATAAACCGACAAAAAGTTTGGGAAGGCAGGTTTAGCGGTTTCAGAGATCCAGTATAAAAAGTAAAAAAATAGCTATTTGACGATTAAAAATTATTATTAGACATATGCACAAAAAATTATCAGATATTTTATAGAGATTTTGATAAAAAAAAAAATTTGGTTACATTTCTATGGGTTTCGTATCAATGTTTATTTGTTGTTATTCGACGCGATGCTTTTTCGCTTCGATATTTTGTCATAAAGATACAAAATTTCCAAAAAATTGCAAAAAAAAATCTAAAAATTCTAATTTTTTCGAAGTTAAAGAAATTTTCAGAAACTTTCTTCAAGGCTTGATGCCATGCATCACTTGCTAAATCATTTAAATCGGTTATTCCGAGCGCCAAAATCGTGGACAAAAAATTGTATCCCCACAAAATACACAAAAAACATCCAATTTTTCTAAGACATGCCAAAATTTTAAGAAAGTCTCAAAACGCAAAAAAATTTGAAAAAATCATTTCCAATTTCTTTGCTATTACTATAATTTACCCCACGTGAAGTTAAAAAAAAGAGTGCGCGTAAGGAAAACATGCAATTGAAATAACAGTTTTTTGCTATTGTACATGATGACAATTAAGTTAAAAAAAATTCATCATATAAGAATTTGAAATATGTTTTACTGGTAATATGATTATACTAGTAATACATACAGATATTTATTAATAGTAACCACTATACTAAAATTTATAACAATAAATTATTTACTCTTATACTTCAAATATGATGTGTCAACAAATTGTCTAAATTTCTTGAGAATTAGATGATTGTAATTGAGAATTATTTTTTCTTAAATGAATGAAAAGAAAATGAAAGAGTTTATTATTTGAAACATCAATCAATGTTCGCGATTCATTCAATTGAAATTTAACATTGAAATCTTTTTGAAATGGCAAGGGTATCTCATTCTAATTAGTTTTTAAGAGACTTGAATCTTTATTAGAAAAATTAAATATTTGCTGATGAATAAATTTTATAATATTCGATATAATTTTATACTTATGTTACTCATACAAGGTAACACAGTAATATCTCTTAATATAAATTTGTTTATTATTTATCCATATAATAAACTTGTAATACTCTTGATTCAAGAGAGTCTTGAAGATGTGGCTTTGACCGTTGAACAACAACAGTGAAAGATCATCAGAACTTATTAATTGTTCAAAGTCTTGCGATTTGAAAGTCTTTCGATACATTATTCCTATTTCAGTTTTTGTCCTTGTTTTTAGAAATAATATACAGTCTATCAATACTGGTAACTAGAAATAATATATTATATAAAGGCTGTTGATTATGAGTTTTGTTATTAACATATACTATCTCGTCAAAGATATTACCTTGATATTTAATTATCGCAAGTGCTGGACCAGATACTAAAGAACAAAACCATTTCTTTGGCAAACTGGTGTAAATTAGAAGCCAAAAATAAATAAATAAATAAATAAACATTCTTTTTGGTTTTTTTATATTAACCCTTCGTTGGGCGCAGCCGATCTGACAGATACAGGGCCAACATTTTAGCATGTTTCTCCATAATTTGATGTCATCGAGATCTCCATATCTCAGTAGCCTCGTTATTTTATGTCTACTATTTATTTGTCCATATTAAATTGTCTTTGAACTTTGCATATTTTGCTTGTAGCAATTTTGTTAAAAAAACGCACTAAGCCAAATTCTATTTGACGTACAAAATGACAAAAAACACTAAGTTTTTACTATCCTAATTGTTTATATAGTCTTTGTATAAACATTCCAACAGAATCTGACAATTTTTTATATAATTAATAAAATTATTCATTTCAGAAAAAGTAAGGTTTATCCGTCTAGCATTTTGAGCGCATGTACGGATTTTTATATTTTGCTATATTATAAAAATAATATTGATCTAATATATATTTTGCTTTTGTTTACACATAATATACATATTCAGCATTGTAAAAACGCAAATTAAATAAAAATATATAAAACTATAAGGTTCCTGCCAATATACTTATAATCTGTATCTGTCAGATACACTGCGCCCGATTCTGTACATATTTGGACTGCGCCCGACGGAGGGTTAAACATGGTTTTATTTCTATTCGTCGTTATCGTCACTTTCTATATATACTAAATTTTCCACACAAGCGTGAACTAAATCATCACTTACGTCAATATCAGTTGTCATAATAATGTACTTATTTTTCTTGATCAGCTGAATGGCAACCTACATACATATCAGTGACAATCAATATAAATCTGTCTTGCCTATAAAATTATTTTCGAATTTGACATTTAACGTTTTGTAATCCATATGATCGGAAATATATAACCAAAAATATCTTTAAACACTTGACAAGAAGATCTCAAAGAAGTTTTAGTTCAAGAATTTTATGTACCACAAATATTATTGCTGAAAAATATGAAATAATTTGCTATCGTTCTGTACTTACTTACAACCGATTCCTCGTTTGGCTTGATTTCGGACTCACATGCTTTTTCGGCCTCATTAAGCTGTGAAGGACGATTTACAGCAGGACATGCCTGATCTGCCTGAAATTTAAAATGTTTAAATTTTAAAAATGTTTAAATTAAAAAATTATAAAATTCTTAACGTGACAATCAATAAATTATTGAAACCTCTCGATTCAACCGTTTCGTTACTGGAGTATATCTGCAAGGGAGACTGCTATTCGAACCTCCCTGTAACGCTACTGAAAGAAACAAGCACAACAACATATTGAAAGATTTTTATAAAATATTAGAGTTTTCAATCATTTAACTCTTTTAAATATGGAAGAAAGGGTCGTACACTTATGTCTAATGGTGATACTTATAACGCCTATAGGTGACGCTCGCCGCCAAAAGGAGCATATGAAACATACTAAGTTTAACGTTAATGCAGTTGTAACATAAGCTATAAAATATGAAACCCATAAATTTAAAAAATTACTAGGCAAATTCCCGCAAGGTAAGTTATGATAATCGCAAAAAAATAAAATTTTTTTTTTCATATTTTTACATTTCAAAGGGTTATGACATACTCTAGAAAAAAAATGATATATGTGTGAGTATGTGCGTGTGTGGGCGTATATAAATTTTCGCCAAGTATACCGAGCAGACGGATTAACCGATTTGAATTCAAAAAATGTTTAATTCTTATTGATGGGCAGTCGTCCTAATTAGTATTGACAAAAGCATCAATTTTGAGATATGGCAAAATGTTCAGAAATTTAAAGGTTTCTGAAACAAAATATATATAAACATTTTAATTTTCGTTCTTCTTGCGATTGCTGTAACATACCCTACGGAATCAAAAAATCAAATATAATATGATAGAAGTTAATAAGTGGTGTATGGCATCGTGCCTTAAGGCAAATTGCTGGAATTTCCCGTATCTAAACGAAATATTCGAGGATATTCCTAAATATTATATTCCTGGATAAATGTTTTTAAATGGATTATTACAAATACTGTAAAGTTGTCTAATATTTATAAGAATGATATAAACCGAATTGCAGAATTATAATTATTTATTTGAATTATATAAGTGAGTCTCAGAACTTTAGCCAGAATTGAAATTAAAATCCAAATTTAATAATGATTCGAAAGACTTTCACATCGCAAGACATTGAACAATGAATAAGCTCTGAAGATCTTTCTCTGTTGTTGTTCAATGGTCAAAAAATTATCAGATATTTTATAAAGATTTTAATAATAAAAATAATTTTTGGTTACATTTCTATGGGTTTCGTATCAATGTTTATTCGTTGTTATTCGACGCGATGCTTTCTCGCTTCGATATTTTGTCATAAAGATAGAAAATTTCTAAAAAATTGCAAAAAAAAATATAAAAATTCTAATTTTTTCGAAGTTAAAGAAATTTTCAGAAACTTCCTTCAAGGCATGATGCCACGCATCACTTGCTAAATCATTTAAATCGGTTATTCCGAGCGCCAAAATCGTGGACGAAAAATTGTATCCCCACAAAATACACACACACATCCAATTTTTCTAAGACATGCCAAAATTTTAAGAAAGTCTCAAAACGCAAGAAAATATTAAGAAATCATTTCCAATTTCTTTGCAATTACTATAATTTCCTCTACGTGAAGTTAAAAAAAAAGAGTGCGCGTTAGGAAAACATGCAATTGAAATAACAGTTTTTTGCGATTGTACATGATGACAATTAAGTTAAAAATAAATTCATCGTATAAGAATTTGAAATATGTTTCACTGGTAATATGATTATACTAGTAATACTTTTTTTTTATTTTGGATATAATTTACATCTGTCCAATGGACATTAGGTAAATTTTATGAATAACAAAATAACAAAGAAGCTGTCTGCAAAATAAACTATTGAATGCTTGAGAGAGTGCACAGTTGCAATCTCTATTAATTTAAGAAAAGATTATGATCTAGATTGACTTGGGATGCCAGTTAGGTCCAAAGGCGTTTTCCTTTTTAATCTTTTGGTGTAGTTTGCTGAGATGAGTGCCTTGTCGAGCCCGTTGGGATGGTTCTCCAGTCGGTGACTGTGTTTGATGGCGTATCTTGTAATTTCTTCTTCTACCGTATGCAGGCCCGTGACCTGGTGGAGCAGCCATACCGGTACATATTTTGGGGCGTTCAGGATGATCCTTAGTATCTTATTTTGAAACTTTTGAATAATTTTTGTATTGCTTTTAAATGCTGTCCCCCAAAGTGCAATCCCGTAGGTCCATATGGGTTTTAGGATATCTTTGTAGATCAATAGTTTGTTGTATATAGATAGTTGAGATTTTCTACCCAGTAGCCAATGAAGGCTCTTGAATTTTTCTTCCAGTTGTTTTTTTTTTCTTCTGAATGTGTGTTTTTCAATTGAGTTTCCTATCCAAGTATATACCCAGGTATTTAACGGCAACTGCTTGTGGTATCTGTTCTCCATTAATAAATATCGGTGAGCAAGTATCATTCCTCAGTGTGAAAGTGATGTGGACTGATTTTTGGTTGTTGATTCTTAATCTCCAGATTTTGTGCCAAGTTTCAATCATTAGAATGTGACGCTGCAGAAGTTCGGATGCTATTTTAGGGTCTTCATGCTTGGATAGGATGCATATGTCATCTGCAAACGTAGCAATTTCAGTGTCTGGGGAAGTTGGCATGTCGTAGGTAAATATGAGGAATAAAACAGGACCTAGCACGCTACCTTGGGGAACGCCAGAGTTAATGTTTCTGAGGCATGAGGTTTGGTTTGCCAGGCTAATGTAGAATTACCTCTCAGTAAGATATGATTTTAATATTGCGAATAGTTGTGCAGGTAGAATATTCTTTAATTTATGAAGTAGTCCGGCATGCCAAACCTTGTCAAAGGTTCGGGATATATCAAGGAAGCAGGCTGAGCAGTACCTCTTTTCATGTATTGTAGCATTTATCTGTTCAACAATTCTGTGTGTTTGTTCTGTGGTGGAATGTAGCTTTCTAAAACCAAATTGATAGTCCGGAATTATAGATTTGTTATGGAGTATTGTTAGAACTTTTTTGAGCAGAAGTTTTTCAAATATTTTAGAGAGGGTTGAAAGTAAACTTATTGGTCGGTATGACTTCAGAAGAGAAGAATCCTTATCTGTTTTGGGTATGAGAATTACTTTGGCTATTTTCCACCCCTTAGGAAACACTCTTAATCGTAGGAGATATAAGATCGTGGCCAGGAGATTTACCTGTATTTCATCAGTGGTTTGCTCCTCCTGGAAGTAGTTTTGCGGAAATGGTTGAAATACGTTTTCAAAGAAATCTGCAAATAAATCGACCTTTTCGTAATGACTTTTTGCCCAGGAGTTATCATTTTTTCTAATAGGGATTACCGGGAGAATAGGTTGTTTGAAATGTTAGGTAGCTTTCCATATAGAGTAATTCGTGTCTTTAGTAGCCGTCAGGTCTTTGATTCTTTTTTCAAGTACGTTGTTGTTGTATTCTTTCAGTAATCTTTTTACTTCTTTACAGGCGCTGTTCAATCTTGTTTTATCTTGAGGAGATCTTGATGTTTGCCATATTTTTTGGAGTCTTCTTTTAATCGCAATATGTTGTTTGATGTACAGAGGATAGTTGAGTTCATTACTGGTTGTAATTGAAGGAGTGCTATTTAGTGCCGATTGATGTAGTGTTTCGGTGAGATGATTTACCGCGTTATTTATGTCGTTTTCTGACTTTAATAACATATTACAATTTAAGTTGATATCAAGCAGTTCTCTAAATTTGTTCCAGTCCGTGAATTTGTTGGTCAGGTAAGGTTTTATGAAAATCGGTTGTTGTTTACAAAAAATGGTTAGTATAACAGGAGAGTGGTCAGAGCTCAAATCTAAGCTATTTTGAGATTTCATATTACTGATTGTTATTTCTTTGGTTATGTAGAAGTCTAACAGATCCGGATTTCTGTTCGGGTCGCTCGGCCAATAAGTTGATCCAACGGTTGAGATCGGGATTAGATTGTTAGTGAGTATGGAGCTGTAGAGTTCACGCCCTCTAGGATTGGTAAGTCTTGATCCCCAATATGCATGTTTCGCATTATAGTCACCTCCAACTATAAACTTATTTCCTAGAGCACTGAAAAAAATGTCGAAGTATTGTTTAAATATTTTATGTTTTGGGGGGCAGTAAATGGCAGAAATTGTGATTCTATTTTGAGGAAAATCAATAGAAAAGTTCGTGGCTTGTAGAAAATCATTGCAGTGTGGATCTAACAGAGAATGTTTGATTTTAGATTTCATTATGATGGCTGTTCCACCATGTGGTTTGTCGTCCGGATGTCTAGTACTGTATGTTGTATAATGTGGAATGTTGAGATAGCTTTTGCTAGTAAAATGTGTTTCACTAATTAGCATTATGTCAATATCGTTATGACGAAGAAATTGTTTTACTTCTTGGTGGTGCTGCGCAAGACCGTTGGCGTTCCATGTACATAGTTTGTAGTATAAGGCCATCATTTTCTCAAAGGTAGAAGGTTTGTCAAAATGTTCAGCATAGTGCTCATTTGGCTCATGAGTGTTTTCATCATATCTTTTAGTTCTTGCATGTCTGTTTGTTGGTTACTTGGAGTAATTATTTGCTGTTGATTGTCTGTCGACAGTCCTCCTTGGTTGTACCTGTGGTTTTTGTTGCTGTTTATGCTTCTAGAAGTAGCATCTGAGAAGGAAACGTTTGGACGGACAAAAAGTTGAGAATTGTTACTAGGTTGGGCAAGTGGTCTTTGCCTCAGGGGATGGAATCTGCGTCGTCTTTCTTCTTTATAAATGGTGCACCCTCTATAGCTGGCTGGGTGATTACCAGAACAAAGAGCACATTTATCGCCGGCGTTGACTGGGTCCTTCCAGGGACAATCTTTTGTTAGGTGCTCTTTGGTACATTTTACGCAGCGTGCGATGCGTGAATAATAATTTTTCGTGTGTCCAAGATTTTGGCATCTTGTACACTGCGGAACTTCTCTTCTATGACGCATAGCTTCTATAGTAACTTTTGTTCTGTAGAGGTATTCGATGGAGTAAAAATCTTTATTATTATAGCTTTGCTCAAGTTCCACTACAAAAATGTTAAGTGGAGCTTTTGTATCTCTGTGTTTCATTGAGTAGATGCGTACGACCTTATGACCGAGTGTAGTAATTTCTCCTGTAAGTGTTTCGATGTCAGTGCTATGGTGCAAATTTTTCACCACTACTTTAAATGTTCGCTTACATTTCGCTTGATAGGAGTGTAATTGTGTGCCCATTTCATGTAGCAACTTTAAAACTATATTGTAGACGTGAGCATCTTTGGTATTAATTTTGACTTGATCATTTCCTACTATTTTGTATAAGTACTGACCTTTTACGTGGGTCTCAAGTAAACCAAATAAAGGTTTAATGTCGTTTACGCCATGTACAAAGATAGGTGGTGTGTTTGTTGTTTGTTTGTCGGCATCTTTTTGAACTGATGTGCTTGCTAAAACATCAAAGTAGTTACTAGTGGGAGTTGGGTTCAGCCAGTATTCCTTTAAATTAGGTTGTTCCATTGGGGTACTTGAATTTTCTGACTGTGAGCGTTTTTTATTTTGAACGGTTGTCCAGCCCTGGTTAAGGTCACTAATATCAATTGATGAATCACTGTCGACGTCGTTCATAGCGGCAACTTCCATAACATTGTGACTTGGTTCTAAATTGCTATGTTCCATTGTTATATATTGGCTAATTTCACTAGGAATATTCAGTTTAAGTAGTTTATTTTCAATTTTATTGATAGTACCAGATTTTAACATTTCTGGAATACTGTCAATATTTTTTTTTATATTTTTTTCGGCATTTTTGCTAAAATAAAAAATGCTTGGTTTGATTTTATGTTTAATTTTTGAGTTTCCTAATGACTTTTTTTCACTTATAATTTCGTTAACCGAATAATCTGCATTGTTTGTGTTATATAATGTTTGTATTGCGCTCGATACGCAAGCACCGATTTCCTCGGAATTATTTACCTGCCCGTAGGCAGCGTCACTCATGTCACTAACACTTTTAATTTCACTTAAATTAAACTCAATTGAGTTAATTTTTGATAGATGGAAAATTAAATTCACTTGCGTGTACCCACAAGAGGCACATGGCGGTTTTAGATATCTACACTGCACAGGTATAATATGTTTATTATTATTTGACTACAGGTAGACTGACTTGTTATTATGTTATACTGATAACACTCTGCGATGTGTACAGTTCGACTGTCGGTAATCGAATACTAGTAATACATAGACTTGAATACTAGTAATACTAGACTTTCACAAACTATTACAAATACAAATTTTCCTCCACTTCCTAATACATACAATACTAATGCTTACGCACCATTACCTAATACCCATTTACAACAATCAACAAATATTCATTCACAACAACCCACCAATAGTCACTTTCAACAAACCTTGAACAGTAATAATGTTTTTTCATCCATAACTGAAATCCAAGAGGTATTTTCAGATAGCACAGTCAGGGATACTATTAATATCCTATTAAAATTAGCTAGAGATATTACAAATGTAAAATCAATTAAAGAAAAAAATATTCTTATTTTTCAATGTTTTACTGAATTATGTTTATAAATGACAACAACTTAAAAATAATGCACTGGAATGCCAACGGCATTCGTAAAAACATAGTTGAACTTAAACATATTCTTTTGAATCATAATATAGATTTAGCATTGATTTCAGAAACATTATTAAGACCCGATAACAAAATTTATATTCCCAACTATAATATCATTACAAATGACATTGCTGCTTCAGGTAAAAGAGAAATATGTATTATTATAAAAGATAGCTATGCTTTCTCAAACGTTCCTGTATTTAATCTCAAATTTGCTGAATGTGTTTCTATCAAAATTGCGCTGAACAATACCGAAGTTGTAGTCTGTTCCACTTATTTTCCAAACAATAAACCAATGTTAGATGATTTAAATACAATTTCAAATCTCAGTAACAATTTAATAATTGCTGGTGATTTTAACGCACGTCATACCTTGTGGAATTGTACCAGTAGTAATAAAAATGGCAGAATTCTATATAACTTTATTGAAAATAATGTCAGTTCTACTACTCTTTGTTATACAA